TTATCTTCATTTAAGCCCATATTTTCTTCCCTTATTTGTTGTTTCTCTATCTGTTCACATCACCTGTCCAATTTCTTTCTACATTTTCTAACCCTCTCTTTTTGCCTGCCTCTATTCCAACAGTTTTGAAGGTTATTCATTCTATCATGTCTGCCAAGATGCTGTCATCTTCCTTCACATCCACTTTGATCTTCTTGCCCACTAGGTTCTGCATGTTCTCTGGAGGGATGCCCTTTGGCTCACCAACCTTCACGGCAAACATGTCTGGGCTGAGCACTGTACCTTTGGAAATGGCCACCTTAGCTATCACTGACTTACCCAGCTGTGCAGAAAACAAAGAATACAGAAATCACAGATAGATTAACAACATATAAATACTAAACATTTATCATTTTTATGGGAACAACTTGATCTATCTCACAAATAAGGTATTGCCACATTGCCAAATGTTGCCAAGGTTTAGTCTTTGGTTCTCTAAATAAAATTTATACCAAAAATATGTATTATATGGTAATTATAAGCTGCTATTACACAACGTGGCACTGAAATTGTTAGCACTATTAATGTACGAATCTATTTGTGTTTGCAAGTTCCCACAGTGAGTTTTCTTCCAAAGTGCAAGGACTTCTTAGGTTAATGATTGATTTTAAATTGATCATGGATGTGACATTGTATCGTTGTCTCTCTGTTTGTCCAGGCTGTAACCTGTCTCATGCCCAGTGATGGTAGGGAGAGGCCCAAGCCCCCTTTGGCAGAAAATTCAAAAGGTACTTTAAAATAAACGTGATGGATAGACCCTACATGAAATGAGACTTACTATATACCTTCTTTTATGCAACAGCAACCAAGTGTCTAATTTCTGGCACATATGCACTTAAATTAAAAAGATAGACATATTTGGAACAGAATAACAGAGAAATATCTTGCACAAAGACATGTGAAAGGTGCGTGGTTGTACAAAAGGGACCCCAGTAATTTTTTAGTGCACCTTAATTCAGCTATGGGGGTTCATGTGATTATTGGAGTTTTCTCTGTATTATTGTAGCATTATTTATCTTATAATATAATGTGCCTTGATGCAACTGTTGTTGTGATTTGGTGATATATAAATACAACTGAATTGAATTAAATTAATGAAGTGGCACTTGTGAGAAATAATAAAAAATCAAGCTTGAAATGCAGACTTTCAGTCTCAACATTTAGCTTTTTGCTAAAGTTCATCCTAAATGAATCAAACTAACCTTATCATGGCAGGTCTTCTCACATGGCAACATTTGTTTGACTGGTGATCCCATTGCCGTCTCCACCAGTCGGATTGCTCGGACCAGCTCTGCCAGCTCGGAGGGCTCCAGGGATGCCTCATGGTCATTTCCCTTCCAGGTCTTATCTAGGGTCACATGGCGCTCCACAACTTTTGCTCCCATCGCAACAGCAGCCACAGTGATGTAGATGCCTTGCTCATGTCCAGAATATCCAATTGGAACATCTGGAAATTCTTCCTGGAATGTCTTCCAGAAAGAATGGAAAAATCAGAGTAAAAAACTTTTGCATTTTGTTTGCTGCCTGTTTGTGTACCCACCACTTTCATACAATACAGTGGTCACACATACACAATTTAATTTAACATCTAAGCACAGTGTGTAAACAAACACTGGTTTCTCAAGTCTTTCATTGGCAGGTTCCTTCTCTCTAGAAAACAGTACCTACAAAACTTTGTGATAGTGTAAGACGACACTGTAATATCATATAACATTTAAAGAATGGATTTGAAGTTAAGTAACTGTTGAGCTAAATGTTGTGTTAGCTTGTACGTCTTTACAAGATGTTAACAGTTGACAAGAAGGACTTTCGAAATGATTACTACAATGACCTGCTCTACTAATGTGGTTAATGAGTCTTCATCTCTGGCAATGTGCCATGTATGAAGAGATGGAAAAACAATCCCACAACCTGCCTCTCCAGTGCACTCCATTTCATATGACTTTTAGTTTCCTTTGGGACTGTTCACCATATTCCAGAGATAATTTTCTTTATTGTTTAGACAGTTTAAAACCTTCTCAGCAACCACAGTGATGTGATTACTTGAATGGACACCGGTCACTAACTGGTCCAGCTGGAAACTGCCAAGGCTCCATAGACCCTTGATCTGCTATTTTCAATGATTTCCTCTTTCAGCAAACCAAGGTACATTTACTTTTTGTAAGAGCATTTAATGATCTGAATGACCATTAAAATCATGGTATAGACAGTAGGATATATAATGTGGCATCTGTTTGGTATTAGTAACTTTAAGAAGGTCTGTTTCAGAAGGCATGCTAATACAGCCGATCCTTATAACAGGCTAAGCTAGCATAAATTTGGGCAGTCTTTTCCTTAATTGCACTAAGATGCAAAATCTGTATCGTTAATGATAGGACCAATTAATGGTATAATTGCAGAAAATAATAAATCTTTTAAAAGGCACTAGAGATTAAACTTTTTGCAAAGAGTCAAGTGCAAAAGGCTAAACGGCTCAGTACCAGAGTAGAACAACATCGAAGTTTATGAAAATGTATAAAATAGGGCAGAGTAAAGAAAAGACTGTATTTATTTTATAAACTGTTGATAATAATTAAACAATTCCAATTCCATTATTGACATCACTTATTGATTCTCACTGGGTTCTCAGTGGCTCTGATTTGAGAGTGACCACCAGTACTAAGCAACATATCTAAGACATTACATTCACGCAAATTAATTGTGTGCTGTGGATCAAATGTTGGAGACAGTCCCATCTTTGTTGTGATCAGTGTTGAGGTCGTTACAAAAAAAATAAAAAATAGGTAGTGTCCTAAGAATTGTCATTTTTACTAAAAGTGTTGGGGAATGTTGCTTGAAGGGATTACCTTTTTTGTAACATGAACGTTCCCTTGTTTGCTGCTATGGATTGCAATAAAAGCACATAATCAGAGAAAATGATGACTGAGTATGAGGAAATTATTCACCAATATTACCTTGATAACACTGAGGTTGACCTCTTTAGGATCCAAAGGGTAGGCGCTGGTGCATTGCAGGAGGGTGAAGTTCTGCTTGTGCTCCTTTACTGTCTTGTAGACACGCCGTATGGTTTCCATAGACTGCATCCCAGTGGATATCACCATGGGTCGCCCTGACAATAACATATGTATTATGTAATCCAATATACTGTTTAGATGGGCATGAATGCAAGATCGGTAGTTAAATTTAATAATGAAAATTAGCTAATCATGACAGAGCAGACAAACAAAACTGACAGATTCAGAATAAAAGAGAAAATTCAGGTGATATTTATAAATAAAATATCAGTGTAGCAGTATTTTGTAATTTTTTGTTGTCATGTTGTTGTACGTTTTAATGGTGCCCACTATTTCAGCGCTCAAATGAGGTCTCTATCAGGGAGCTGTTTTTTTGGTTTTTTTTACTAAGGCCTACACCCACAAGGTGGGATCAGCTATAAAATGCACTGTACACTGCAGATTTGCTGTTTCCCACGACAGTTTAGGTAAGAGTGATTTGAAGTACTCGCAAAATGCCTTGTACCTTTTTTGGCAGTTTTCTCAAGATATGGAAAGTTGTTCGCATCACACGAGGCAACTTTGAAGAAGGGCACATCCAGCTCATGAAGGAACTCCACAGCCATCTATGGATATCAGATACATATATGCACTGAAAAATTCAATCATATAACCAAAGAAAGCTAAGATGGAGTACATCAGGCCTAATGGCTTTGTTGTGTCTCGGCACTGAGTGTGTAAATCTCCCGAGATCTACAGGAAGGACGGAACATTATCCTGCAAAAGATTTTGCCTTTGGCCATTATCTCTCATAGGTGTTCAGACAGGTTACGGTGTCTCAATAGGTCATAGCATACTATTCACATTATTTTCTCAAATTATTGACGGATTCCTTGTGCTGTGTGGAGTGGAGCATTTTTTTTT